GTCCAAAAAGAATCCAAAAGACCACAGATCCCAAATTTGAAAGTGTCTGGCTGTTGTCTTAATATATTTCTTCCGAGGAAATAAAGGCAGGACTGAAGGCGTTTAGAGGAGAGATTTTTAAGCATGGTGTTTTGACACACCATACGAGTCCCTTAAAACATCTTTTTCCGTCTTGCCTGTTTATAACTTTGCTTTAGCCCCAGACCCTTAACCCAGCTAAAAGAGGAATGTATAGGCAAGAGGAGACCAACTTGTAACCGCCTTCTATGTCTTAGTTCCTCCGGAAGTGTTTTTGTGAGCCTGCTCCTCAGAGGGACAGGGTTTTAAATGTGATGAAATGTCACCAGAGAATTTAAGCATATTGTTCCTCGTGCCTTTCTCGGTACTTAATTGAACTTGTACTTTCATTTCAAAGAACAGCTTTGGAAAGGTTTTCGCAGAATACGAAATGCAACATACCCATTCATGTTGCAATCTGAGTAGTAACTCAAGTCGGCGAGGAACGGAGAAGGAGCAGCTTACCTCCATGAGTCCAATTCTCAGAGGCTCTTTCTTTCATTTATTGTTCCTGTAGAACAAAAAATCATATTACTTTATGCTTTAGTAATTGCTTTTTGTTTTCATTTCAGTTGAATGTGCCTCAGACTACAAGAGGAACTGTCATTCCATATGAGAAAATTGCCAAGTAGTTCCATGTTGATCAGAAGGGAATCCACTATTGATCTCCGGGGCTGCCAAATCTTTTTCACTGGCATCGTTCCCTTTGGGTTTTTTGTTTAAATATATTTTTATTGATTTCAGCAAGGAAGGGAGAGGGAGAGATAGAAACATTGATGATGAGAGAGAGTCATTGATCAGCTGCCTCCTACACGCCCTATACTGGGGATTGAGCCCACAACCCGGGCATATGCCCTGATCGGGAAGGAAAATGTGACCTTCTGGTCCATAGGTCAATGCTCAATCACTGAACCATGTCAGCTGGCTGGTATTATTCTCTTTGAATGGGAACTTTATAAGCTGGAAGGCAGGTGATGTTAAATCTCATCAGTGGTCCACATAAATAAACACAATGCATTTAACAGAGCCTGCACTGTTGCTCAGACTAAGGCAAGATTCCCCACTTTGCAGTTCTAGATGTTTTCATCATATGTGCTTCCCTTTGGAAAAGGAAAACAAAAAAAAAAGCCAACTTGGGAATTGTGTCCATGACTAAGAACTCAGCATAACATAAATGATAGACTTGCTAAGAGCATGTCATAAAATCAAGAGTATAGCCATCAACTTCTACAATAATTTGGAAGAATAACACTGGGCTATGAACTATGCATAAACATTATATACCTATTGATAGTTCAAGGGGTCTTCCTGTACTACAAAGATGTAGACAATACTAAAAGTATTACAACACTGTCATACCAAAAATGTGACCTTCTTAAGATATTGTCTATGTAAACTTGTTTCTGTTTAACAATATTTCAGAGTCTATAGAATTCTTTTTTTTTTAATTGAAAATGGCTTCAGTAATATCCAGAATAATCTGGATATTTCCCTCAAGTAAGATATTACAATACTTAGCCATGATGGAAAATTAAGTTACTGACAAAGCCCACAATTAGAACTTAAACTTGAAGTCCGGGGCTTATCCTATATAAGCTATAGTCTCCTAAGATAGATAGATGGTGGTGATGATGATAGACAGACAGATGGATAGATGAAATAAATAAGTAAAGAAAGAAAGAAAGAAAGAAAACCTCTCTATAAAACTATCCATGAAAATTTATTTGAACTCCTGCCATCAGTTCTTCTCAGTAAATAGCAGGGCCACGCATGATCACCCCACTGGCCTCAGTGCTACCCCGCACATTTGTGTCTCTCTGCTCATAAGTAACTCTGACCTCTAGATCTTTGCTGCTATTACTAATGAATAGAGCCATGAGAGTCTGAGGACCAGAGGCCACTTTTCAGCACATTAGGTCTTAGGCTCCTTTGGTCTACGATGCCCAGAGGATAACACTGACATGCACAGACCGAGTTTTTCTGCAGGCTGCTGCATAGATACGATCGCCTGTGGGTAATAATAATTAGTTCCTGGCCAGGTCAGCAGTGGAGGACACCCCAGTGTTCCTTGATACTAGGGCTGAAAATTGCTGGGTGTGCTCATATTTTCTCGGGTTTCATTGCCTGCATCCTGCCAAATACGGCAAGCAAGTCTTTGTGGGGAGAAAAGAAGAGGCAAAAGTGTAGCCTATAGTTCTCAAATTCCAATTTCTAAAAGAGAACACTGATTTAGTGGCAGCCTTTGAGGCAACATGGTGAGTGAAGTAGACAAGCATTACATGTTAAATGCACACCAATTTCAGCAATGCAAATACGTGGTTCAGGCCTGTTTGGTGTGGAAATATGGTCAGACAAGAGTCTCCATCTCACCCTGATATCTTAGGATGTGATTTGTAACGAGGAGAGGGCTGGGCAGCACATACGTAAGTTAATGGTATAGACAGGAGCCTCAGAGAATTTTTCCCATCATCTGGCAGATGATGTTGCCTCTTCCTCCCTTAGTTTATGACCAGCACTACCAGCTGGACAGAAACCACTTCATTCATTCATTCATTCATTCAACCAATGTTTATTGAGCACCCACTATGCAATGGACCCCCATACTGGGGCTTGGGATTAGAGATAAAAGATGGACACAAACATTCAGTCCACTGCCTATCCCAACCATCTGCATATTATAGATGTGCAAACAGGCTCAGAAGTTGCCTGCATGTCCATGGTCACTTGGATGGTAAACAGCAAAGTCATCTCTCACACTCAGGTCTGAGTCCAGAGCTCACACTCTTCACTCTGGGTCTTTACAAGTTCTGTAGTGTGAGGAAATAAATAAGGCAAAAGGTAAAGTATGAGAATTAGGGAGATTCATGGAAAGAACAAAGTTGGTGAATGAGGGTGGTTGTTGGGCAGAAGCTGCCTGCCTTCTCTGACGACTGTTGCATTTCTCTAAGGGGATGTGGACAAAGAGGAATCTCATGGTGGGACCACAGTGTAGTCTGAAATACCATCATTATGATGCTTTGGAAGCATGTTGTTACCTTGCTTTGTGGGTTAAATCCATGAACATACTTCATTGTGCTCTTACACCACCCTCCAACACACACACACACACACACACACACACACACACACACACACACACACCAATCCTTCCTTCAAATGTGAATACAACCCAGAGCCTGGTTGTAGTTTCAGAGAAACATAAATGTTCTTTTTCTTTCCTCCAGTCATGCTTGGAATGCCCCTCATTATACTGCCTCCTTCCTTCCCTCATTCCCACCATCACGAATAAAATAAAATAATGGCAGCATGCTTGAGTCCCAATATGCTCCACGTGCAAGCTTGGTTAAACAAATCACATTGACCTTTAATAAAGATGTGCCAAATGCTTCCTTCTCTCATTCAATATGTTAATCTTCAGCCAAAGCACTGTCAGAGCAAGCATCATTAAGTGCACATCTGATCACGCTACCCCCCTGCTTAAAACCCTTCAGTGGCTCTGCATTGCCTATGGGAGGAAGCCCAAACTCTCATAGGGGAAGGACCTTCAGGTGTGGCCCCTACTGACCCAGCCTCATTTCTCACAACATCCTTCCCCCTGCATCTCATCTACATGCTGGCTGTCCCTGGGTATGCACCGTTCTGTATGTCCTTAGCTCTTTCTCCACCATGACTGTCTACAGTGCCTTTGACAGCCACCCCCCTGCCAGCCACACACTGATTAGCTCCTGTCATTCAAGATGCAATTCAGGTGAGCTCCTCTGCTAATCCTCTCCAGAGTCCCACCCCCGGGCAGAACTGACAGCTTCTCCATGTACTTGGTGCAGATACGCATCACTATGTCTGCTGCTCCTTGATGCCTTCACTTAATTACATCCTGCTCTCCGACACCCAGCCTGACACGTACAAGGAGCTCAAGAAACAGAGCCAAGTGATGGACACTCACATGAGCTTGCTGTGTAAGGCACCTGTTCTAACTGCCAAGGTTCATCATGTCAGTGTGTGCTCTAGGCATCATGACTTTGTCGTGAAAACATATTGCAAGGGTCAGGGTGCAGAGCAGCCCAGCCATGTACCAGTCGCTGTACACCTCTTGAACTTGTCCTGAATCTCTGATGTTTTGATGGAAAAGAAAAAAAAAATTAAATGGAAAGACAAAGGAAATCATTTCTCCTAGAGTTGATCTCCAAATGCAGCTTGACCAATCTCCTCTCTCTCTCTCTCTCTCTCTCTCTCTCTCTGTCTCTCTCTCTCTCTCTCTCTCTCTCTTGTTGAACTTAATTTTTAAGCCTTGTGATTGGATTTGGCCCGATTATTTTTCTTTCTAAAAGTAGTTCTTACATGTTCTTTTCATTAAGCAATGGTCAGAAACAAGAATGGTGACCAGGCAACCTTTCCACAGAAACTACAGCCTTCAAATGGGAATTTCATTGTAACTATAATACGTACTACGATTCCAAGTCCCAGGGACTATAGCCAAATATTTGGCTCTTCTTTGTGTCCTTATCATAGACCACATTTCTTTTCATCGATATTCAGTGTCACATCCTGTAAGAAGAATGTGCTTCCTCGCATCTATGATGTCAACCTTGGGCATGTGATTTTTTTTTTGGCCACCAATATGTTCACAGGAATAACATACACCACTTCTGGGATGGGAGCTTCTCCTCCTATCATTGCAACTCACCAAGGTCCAGATGGCACCCATCCTAAGAGTTTAGACAACAGTAACATGGAGGAAGCCCTCAGCCAACCTAGAATGAACATGTATGACAGCAAGAAATAAACCTTTGTTGTTTAAAATGATTGAGATTTGGGGCCTGTTTGTTACTGCAGCCTATCCTAACAGATACAGTCTTCTGGAATCAGAAAAGGAAAAAATAATCAGCAATACCAGCACTTTATAAGAAACCTAATTCTTAAGTCTTTCTTATTTCCTTCTTTAGATGATGCATATTTACTACAGGGACTTAATATAGAAGAACTGTATCCAGAGACCTCTAGTTTCATTACTTATGATGGGTCGATGACTATCCCACCCTGCTATGAGACAGCAAGTTGGATAATAATGAACAAGCCTGTCTATATAACGAGGATGCAGGTAAGCTTCTCTGGTCTTAGCAAATGGGGAAGTTGATGTGAAGACTGGCTGTGTTTGTGAAATACCTATTGTATTAGTTGGCTAGAAATGCTCTAATAAAGTACTACAAATTTGGTGGCTTAAATATCAGAAAAGTATTGTCTCACAGTTCTAGAGGCTATAAATCCAAGATCAAGGTGTCAGCAGGATTGGTTCCTTTTGATGGGAGTGAAGAAGAATCTGTTGCATGCCTCTTCTCTGGTTTCTGGTGTTTTCTGGCAATCTTTGGTGTTCCTTGACTTGTAGAAGCATACTGCCACTCTGCCTTTATTTTCACATGGTGTTCTCCCTATGTCTGTGTCTCTTTGTTCAAGTCCCCCTTTTTTATAAGGACACCAATCATATTGCATTAGAGGCCACCCCAATAACTTCATCTTAGCTAATTACACCTGTAATGACCTTATTTCTAAATAAGGTTGCATTCTGAGGTGTTTGGGGGTTATGACTTTAACTTGTGAAATTTGGGGGTATACAATTCAACTCATCATACCTGTATTTAAAAAGTCAGCATCTGAAAAGGCTTAGCATGAACTGATTGTAGAAGCACCGACTTGTCTGAGAAAAGAACAGCAGAGTTCATTCCCAAAGTGCTCTACAGCAATAGTGCTCAGAAAGCAAATGAGCAAAATGGATGATATGGACAAATCTGTTTGAAAACGCTGGATTAAAAAAGAGTTAAATAGATTTCATTGTTGGGAGACTTCCAAGGCCTTTGAAATGATAATAATTATGTCAGTCTCCAAGAGGAAGCGATAGGATATGTAGCATTTCACAAACATATTTGAATGTGGAATACTTCAGAGCATCTCAGTATTTCTCATAAATCTGGCTTGGATCCTTCAGAACTGGATGGGAACCAGGAGCTCTGGCCTCTGAGGCAAGCTTTGGTTCATTACGTGCTCATTATGTGCTCCTAGGGCTGCCACCCCCCTCCTGTGAAATAAATACTGCTCTTTATGATGCGGGGGGGAAATTACACAAGTCTGTTCCAGCTCTGACATGCTCTGATTCTGGGATCCTATGACAGCTCAGAGGAAAGATGAGCAAAGGAAGCAGACTCCATTCTCCTTTACAGGACATGTACAGTTGATCTTTGAATAACTTGTCCACCTATATGTAGATTTTTTTAAAATAAATGCTTGTGGTTGTGAGTCCATGGACATAGAGAGCTGACTCTATGCATTGTTCTATGCCATTTTATACAGGGGACTTGAGCGTTTGTGGATTTTGGTATCCACAGCGTGGGGTTGGCGGGGGGAGAAGGGATCCCTGTAAGCAATCCCTGGTGGATAGATAACAAGGAACAACTAAGTTTTTGGGAAAGTCAAAAGTTATATGCAGATTTTCAATGGAACAGAGGGTCGGTACCCCTAACCCTCACTTTGCTCAAGGATCAGTTATACTTACAGCCCCAAAACAGTGTGAACAGTTTGAACTCCCTGATCCTATCTGTATTGGTTAGGACTCTTGGTGATAAGCAACCTCCTCCAGATAAACTCAGAGAAAGTGTTTGCTCAAGAGATACTGGGCATCTTAAGGAATTTAATATCAGAAATTGATGTCAGGAACTCGCTGGGATTAAAATCCTAGACACCCTTTATCTCTTGTTCTCTTCTGCCTCCTACCACCCATTTGCTTCATTCTTCTCTCCTGCTCAAAACTACTCCTTTGCTTCTCAGTCCTGGGGTGGAACTTGGCTGCAAACATTTCAGTCCAGCTCTTTGATTTCACAGAAAAGGAACCAAACTAATCCAGCTTAGTTTCGCTCTGGCCCCTGGACCAGTCACTGTAGTTTGGATAATACCCATGTGCGGGGAATAATTCCCTGAATTGTTGAGAATTATTGAACCATGGGGTGTAAGAGAAAGAGACCCTGAAGAACAGCTAGTTGGATTTCCTCCTTTGACAGAGGGTGTGTTTGAGGATAAAACAGAATAATTGACTTGTTCAGAGGCATCCATGAGCTACTGAGTTATTGAGCTACAAGTGAGGCTCACTCCACACAATGCCAGCATCAGTGGGCCCCTAGCTCAGCTGAATCCACACAACCAGGGTCTCCGAGGGGCTCACATGGCCCTAGCCTGGCTTGGCCAATACAGTCTTCTCCCCTGGTTTATTTAAGAGGGTGGGTGGATCTCACAGCTGTTTCTCTCTCCTCAGATGCATTCCTTACGCCTGCTCAGCCAGAATCAGCCATCTCAGATCTTTCTGAGCATGAGTGACAACTTCAGGCCCGTCCAACCCCTCAACAACCGCTGTATCCGTACCAACATCAACTTCAGTTTACAGGGGAAGGACTGTCCAAACAACCGGGCCCAGAAGCTTCAGTATAGAGGTGGGTGCATTGCTCAGAGGGCCCTGGGCCAGGCCAGAGTTCAGTCCTCCTGCTTACACCTGTCCTTGAAGGCCTGGCATTTTCTCCCATTATCAGAATCGTAATTATAAATTATAAGTAAGACCACCACCTTCCATGTGCATGGCGCTTTTCTGTTGATAAAGCCTATATATTAGAGATAGAGATCAAACTTTAAATCCCTCTGTTTTGCTTCTGGTTCAGACAAAACAGCCTTTTCATTGCCATTGTACAGAAGAGCCAGAGAGGCTGATTTTTTTCAAGGTTAAGTGTTAGAACAGACAGGAAGAAGCATTGGAGCTTTATTTATGTGCATGATGAGCCCCTTTCTGCTAAAAGGTGAGCAAATGCTCTGGATGCCAGGCTGTTGGGATACAAGGAGATAATGTGTGTGAATGCATCCTTTTCTGGTGCTATGTCCCTAGAAGTGACAATTATTCCTACTATGGAATAAACAACTCCCACCGCCTGTAACCCTCTGGTCCATACCAGCCCTCTTCCCTTCTGCACACTAAGTATGTGTTTGATCATGGTGCTCAGCTCTCAACATGGAAGGACAGTGAAGGCAGAATGGTGTCGTGGAGACGCCTTTGACCCAGAGTAGGACACCCAAGTTCCAGACCTGGTTCTGTCACTAACAAACTATGCAAACCCAGCCAAGTCATTTACACAGTAGACCTCACTTTTTTATGATAATCACTATACCATCTATCTCACGACTTGTTGTGAGGAATGAATGAGAGCCTGGATGGTGAAGCCCTTGGTATCAATAAAGTGCTGCTCAAATATGGGGTTATATATATTACCAGACAGCTTCTCGAAGCAGCTACCACCACTGTCCTTGGCCCCCCACTTCATCTCTCCTACTTCCCCCACATTTTTCTTTCTTTTTTCAGATACATGTAGAGTGCCAAAATTAATATTCTGTTCCCTTCAAGCCAGAGCTGCCGACAAATAAGTACTCAACCCATTGATTAAGCCTTCTCTTTACTCAACACCTATTTATTGTACATCTAATATGTGCCAGGCACTTAGCTTGGTGACGAGGATACAGTGTGATGCAGACAGATATGACCTCATCCATCCACCACTAATAATCTACAGCAGGGTGTAGACTTTTTGAGTCATACACCAGTCATATTGGATTAGGGCCTACCTCAATCAGTTAGATTAGGGCCCACCTCAGTAACCTCATCTTAGCTAATTATATCTGTAATTACCTTATTTCCAAATAAGGTTGCATTTTGAAGTATTGAGGGTAAGGATTTTAATTTATAAATTTTGGGGGGTCTGCAATTCAACTGATCACATCTATGTTTAAATAATCAGCATCTGAAAAGGCTTAGTATGAACCAGTGGTCAGCAAACTCATTAGTCAACAAAGCCAAATATCAACAGTACAATGATTGAAATTTCTTTTGAGAGCCAAAAACGGACTTCTGCGCATGGGCCACGAAGTTGCAATCGCACTGTATGTGCGTGCCTGCAGGTGGTATTTTGTGGAAGAGCCCACACTCAAGGGGCCAAAGAGCAGCATGTGGCTTGCAAGGAACTTATTATAATATAAAGTCTGATCTCTATCTCTAATATATAGTTTGCCGAGCACTGGTATGAACTGATTATAGAATTATTGACCTGTCTGAGAAAGAACCAATAGGGTTATTCTTAAAATGCTCTACAGCGATAATGTTCAGAAAGTAATATGAGTGAAAGGGATGTTGGTCAACTATGTTTGAAAAATCTGCATTTAAAAAGACTTAAATAGATTTCATAATTGGGAGACTTCCCAGCCTTTATAATGATAATAATTATGCCAATCTTCAAAAGGAAGCAGTAAGATATGTAGCATTTCACAAACCTACTTGAATGTGGAATTTTCTGCCACACTCTGATGTTATGGTGTGAAAGAGGCCATGGGTAACATGTAAATAAATGGTGTGGCTATGTTCCAATAACACTTTATTTATAAAAACTGATATGGACTAGATTTGATCTGTTGGCTGTCATTTGCCCAACCGTGGTCTAGAGAAAAACTTTCTGTGATGATAAACATATTCTATATCTGCACTGTTCAATAGGATAGCTACTAGCCACCTGTAGCTATTGAACAGTTGAAGTGTGACTAGTAGAGTGAGGCAACTAAATTTTTTATTTAATTTTTCATTAATTTAAATTTATGGTCGCTGCATGTGACTGGTATGGGGACAATAATTTTAAATAGAGGTTCTTAGAGAAATAAGGAGGTTCTAGGGATACATAAAAGTAAGCAGGCATTTACAGACCTGTTTTTGTTCCTTCTCCTTTGGAGTAAGTCCCCCAAATTCTGTGCCAACTAATTCAATTCAACTATGCCTTGTTCTTATGGTGTGTGTGTGTGTGTGTGTGTGTGTGTGTGTGTGTGTGTGTTTCTTTCTTTCTCTTTCCAGTAAATGAATGGCTCCTCAAGTAGGGAACTAGCCCAAGAAGAATTTCATCTCAGCGAAATGCTACAACTGTGAACTGACATAACCTGGAATGTCCCCCTTCTTTCTTCTCTCTCCTTCCCTTTTCTCAAGCTCATTCACTCTTTGGATTGGCCCCATCTTCATGAAAAGTGTCTGCAAAACCATGGCAGAAGACACACACATGCATACATATGCACACACCTGCAAACATATCTACACACATACAGGCACAGCCTACAAGATCGGAAGTCAAGTTTTCAGAAACAAAAGGCTCATTCATAAGAGGTCTTAGAAGAAAATAACCAGTTAACCTGATTACAATTTTGATACTGTTTTCCTGAACTAATAAATCCACCCAGTGAGACTTTTCAGCCTTTGTACATACAGAATTCTTCCAAAAGAGAATGGAGAAAACATGGCTTTGACAGCATTAAGCAGACTTCGTGCTTTGCATCGAGTAATCTCAGTGTCCTAGAATCCTTGGAGGGTGCTGGTGGCAGGTGAACCAGGACAGAGTTGGCCAAGGACACTTATTTCTAGATTCTGATTCTTCTGTTTACTCAACAATTTAAAAAGGAAAAAAAAAAAAAAGGACAGACATTGAAGAGATACACATTGTATATATATACCACCGCAGACTATAAAGAAATTGAATTATTTCCCCTTTGTCACATATCTGTAGTAGGATTTGCCAAGATCAGATCCATTTGCTGTTTCTTGTTTTCCAAAGGTCATACATTGTGTTTGGTTATCGTTAACAGCTCAATAAATGGGTTTAACGACTTAATTTTATTTTTCTGGCTTCGGGTCTGTTCTCCCTCCTTACAGGCTAAGCCCCAGCCCCATGCAGCTGCATTCTTTGGTTTCACGTGTTCCTTCATCTACATGTTTTGTTCATTCGCAGCCCCTTTTTTTACTGAGTTTGTGGCAATCAGGAATGCATTTGCTAAAGCAAGTATAACTTTAATTACCCTCCGTGGCTCCATCATTCATCTGAGGTGAGCTCCAGCCTGAGCTAGCAGGCTACCGATTCCTTGCGTTTTAAAACTGCCATCCCCCTCGCCCTGTGATGCTCCCTTGAAGGAATGCACTTTGCCTTGTAAATTCCTGGGGAAGGGGTGTCTTTTCTCTCCGGGTGCAGCTGGATCTCACAAAGTACAAACGAATGCCTTTCTTTTCTTGTTTATAATGGTCACTCACTGTGTTTGGTTACTGTCAAGAAATCAATAAATGTGTTTAACAAGTTACCCGGGACTCATGACTGAGTTTATCAAAGGATGCTCCCTGCGGAAGCCCCTGTGTCCCGCTACGTTCACAGGCAATTGCATTGTGGCCGGCGGGGCAGCCAGAGCCGCCAGAACAGCCTGTCCGGTCACTCCCAGAGCCAGGTAATTAATATCCTGTTGAGAAAACTTATAGGCTTAGCTGCTGGAAGGGAAGGCTTGGATGTTCCTCCGGTGGCCAAATTAAAAATAGCTTTCATCTCTCCTTTTTAGCATAAGAGGGAAAGCACAGGGTATGCAGAGTCTGTGCAAATGGGTCATTCACAAGCATATGACAACCTTCAGCCAAGGGACAAGGTATATTGACAACGAAAAAAATCAATAGCCAGAAATTTTATATTGGAAATAGACACTGAGTTGGATTCTTATTTTTACATTTTTCACCAATATTAGATGATGGGCTTGGCCATGATGACATAATGCGCTTTTTTTCTGAGCAATCGGATTTCTCCAGAAAACCAAATATGTTCGCAAAGGTGTAGGCTGGGCAGCTGGCAGTCTTTCTTTGTGTGGCCTGCTGCTTCCTCTTTGAGTCTGAATCTTTCTTAGCCTGCAAGGGCAGGCAGCCACATAATATAAAGGCTGAAGAACATGGATGGTCAATCAACGAGGCCTGGCTTCAGCTCTTTACTCTGCCACTTGCCTGTTTGCTGTGCGATCATAGGCAAGTTGCTTTACTTCTCTGGTCTATATCAGGGATGCTAATAACTGCCTGCACGAGTTGTGAGGCCTACATGCTCTATGGCTACTTAAAGCGGTTAAACCTGCCATGAATATTCTATAAATGGAGCCTATAGGGGATGGATCTCACAAAGTACAAACGAATGCCTTTCTTTCCCATCACCAGGGAAGAATAATTAGACCGAGAAGGGACAGACCTGCCGAGCCTCAGTTCCCTCCTCAGTGAAGTGGGGGGCAGGAGGTAACCACACACTGAAGAAGATTCTGGGCAAATTACATGAGAAAAAGAAGACAGTGTGTGGAGATGCACACACACACACACACACACACACACACACACACACACCCTCACAAAGACACAACTTGTTTCCAAGATGATTTGGGACCTAGTTCCCACTTCCCTTGGTAGCAGTTTGGTTGCCAAGGCGACATCAGGACAACTACAACTCACTGCACTAGATGTGTCTGAATTGTGAGTGATGTGGAGTTTGGGCAGGAGAGCACACACAGTCCCAGCCCGCAGCCACCACTGTCGGGTGAAGAGTCTGATGGATGATCGTCAGCGAATAAGTGCCAATGCCCCCAGGCTGGGCCCTTACTCTGCTGGATCCCAGAGCACTAGTAGCTCATGAGGGTACTCTGTTCCTGACCCAGAAAGCCTACAAGTAGGATGTCCGGGAGCAAAAACACACCGTAACATCATTCACCAACTAGCACACTGAACACAAGGACAGGTCTGCCAAGGCCCAGCTGAAGAATTGTATGAATAAAGTCCACCATGGGTTGCACATTCCCTGTGAGTAAAAACTCGTGCTAAGCAGCTTAAAATATCATCTCCTTTGACCCACACAGCCACCAAGGAAGTCATCGCCATTGCTACACCATGTTATAAATGCAGAAACTGGACTTGGTGGGATCAATGTCATGCTTAGGGTCACGTGGCTCATAAATAGTAAAGCCAGACCCAGCTCTTTTAAGCCGATGGCTCTCAAAGTATGGCCCTAGCTATCAGCATCACAGGGAAACTGGGTAGAAATGCAAATTCTTCCAGTGAACTGTGGAACTACTGGTGCTCCCGGGGTGGAGTCCAGCCAGCTGTGTTTTAGCAAGACCCCCAGGTGATTCAAGTGTGAGAACCACTGCAAATCAACCACTCGCTCCTAGAGGTTCCCAAACTTTGCCCAGTGCCAGGCTAGACCTCAACCACTGAATTCAGAATGTCCAGTGGCAGCCAAGTGTCCATGTTGTGCAGCCCCGTTGGGAACCACATCCTTGTCTGAAGGCCCTTTTCCGAGGAAGGCTCACCTGTAAGATGGGTCCATGGGAGCCAGGAGGCCAACATTATCCAATAGGTCTTGCCTTTTCAGAATCACATCCCTATCTCTGGACATAGTGACAATCTGAGGTGGCCTCTCAGTGTTCCCCAGCCGCTTTCTCCTTCCCCAGATCTTCCATAAACAGTCCAGGCTTGGAATAACAAATCTTGCTTTTTTAAATACAAGAAGCATTTGTATTTGAAGTGATGACTTGGCAACAACATTCCAAAACCTACCCCAGGTCATCGTGCCTAATTACTCAGAGTGTAATGTTTCCAAGACTTCAGATCATTAAGAACAAATGAGGGGGAAAAAGAAAAGAAAAAAAAAGCTATGAGTTAGGAGACCAGAAGTTCAGAACGATAAGCTCGGTTCATAATTAAAACTTATAGGCAAATTATAGCCCTGTCAGTTCTAACTTCAGGTGTCTCTTCCAGGCAGTGCTCCCTCTCCCAACCCAACAGCCCTGTGACAAGCCCTGGCCCCTGCCCTCATTATGTCAGGCCTTACCATAGCGATATCCAGCCAACGGGTCCTCTGGCCTCCAGTCTCCAGATTAGAGAAAGACCAAAAGAGCACAAAAGTACCAGCCTCTGCTCTCAGATAAGGGCAACTTGAGCCGACCCTTAAAAGTGATTGGAGGGCCCAACAACAGTGGCTCAGTGGTTGAGTGCTGACCCATAAACTAGGAGATCATGGTACATTCCTGCTCAGGGCACATGCCTGGGTTGTGGGCTCAGTCCCCAGTAGGGGGTGTGCAGGAAGCAGCCAATCAATGATTCTCACCATTGATGTTTCTATCTCTTCCTCTCTTTTCCTCTCTCTAAAATCCATTTTTTTAAAAAAATTTTAAAGTGATTGGAGGTATTTTAGGCTGGACTGGGAGTGGGTGAGGATAATCTGAGACATTTTCCAAGGGAGAGACCAAAACACAAAGCTAAGCAGGTCATCCAAAGAGGTGGCACTTCATGGACTTGCTAGAGAAACAGCCTTCTGGAGCAGTGCCAAAGACAGAGATGATTTCGGCATCTATCGTTGTGTCTCTCCCTCTTACGCACAGAAAGAAAAACAGAAACATATCAGAATGCTTCTCAAATAGTGGGTATTCAAAACAAGTTTGGGAATACATAGAATTTTCCAGTGGAAGGGAGGACTTAATTCTTTTCAATTCAGAGTTGTTGAGTACCTTCAGAGAAAAAAACATCAATTTATTGTTTTACTTACTTATGCATTCATTGGTTGGTTCTTGTATGTGCCCTGACCAGGGATAGATCCTGCAACCTTGGCACATGGGGATGACACTCCAATCAACTGAGCTACCCAACATTGGCTTACACACTTTTTTTAAAATATAGTTCTTTATTGATCTCAGAGAGGAAGGGAGAGGGAGAGAGAGAGAAACATCAATGATGAGAGTCATTGATTGACTGCTTTCTGCACTCCCCCCACTGGGGACCGAGCTCGCAACCCACGAATGTGCCTACCAGAATCGAACGCAGGACCCTTCAGTCCACAGGCCGATGCTCTAGCCACTGAGCCAAACCAGTGAGGGCCACGCCTTTTTTATTTGGTGCTCACAGCAGCTCTGCCAAGTAGTTCTTGGCTTAATGTTATACATAAAGAAGTTAATCTGAGAGGTGAATAAACTTACCCAAGATCACACAGTTGTTGAGCATCAGCCAGAAAGTTACAAAAGAGGCTGATACTAGAGAAGCCTCAGGTGAATGTGCTCTCAGCTGCTGCTGGAATGAAATGGCTCTGCCCCCGGAGACTGTGGTCATTTTAGTCCTATTCTTTAGAGTGGACACCAGGTGCAGGCTGTCCTTCCCAACTCCAGCCCAATTAAATTAGAGTCTCTGAGTATGAGTCCAGGCCAACAGATTTTTTAAAGCTATAGGTGATTCTGCTCTGGCATCGGCCAAGAGAATCATTCTCAAAATGTACTGCCCATGGAGTTACTCAGGGGAGCTTATAAAGGCACCAAGCATTGGTAGTTCTAAAAGTTCCCAGGTGGCCTTGGCCAGGTTGGCTCAGTGCTTAGAGCATCAGCCCGAGGACCGAAGGGTCTCTGGTTCGATTCCTGGTCAAGAGCATGTACCTCAGTTGCCTGGGTTCTCCAGCCTGCGAAGGGGCAACCAATCAATGTGCCTCTCTCTCCCTCTCCCTCTCCCTCTTCCTTTCTCTATTCTTAGAATCTAATGTCAACCAAGGCAGAGACCCACGGTTCTATCCCAAGATATTTGCCAAATGGTCCCAAACACATAGAGGCCACCTCGGATGCTGCCTGCCCCTGGGAGAGATACTCAAATAGAATGGTAGAATGGAGAGTCACTGAGAGGAAAGAATGATGCCTTTAGGACTGGGTCCTGACACATGAGTCCAGAGATCTGTGCTCATGGGATTTTAGAATTGACAAGGATACTCACACCTCACACCCAGTGGGCCCCGGGACCTCAGGGCTCACACTCAGTAGGAATTCAGGATAATGAGCGCTTCACTTCAGGCAAGATGAAAGAGGATACAACCAGAGCCAAAATGCTGTGGTGCCCTCCTGGCGCATGAAGCTCCGGACACCTGAGTGAGTGGCAGCCGTGTCCCTGTCACCAGTGAGACAAGATTTCTGCCTCCTGGACTTAAGGTGCCTTCTGAGTGAAATAGATATAATCATTTCTTTTCTCATATTCTAGAAATGGTGAGAACAAAACCGGAGAAAGGTGAGAAAACATGCTGGAACGTGTTAAACAGTGTGAGGTACCGCTAATAGAATGGATGCAAATGCTTCCTCTATGGTGCAGAGCAACTCCCAGAAGAAAAATGGGTGCAACGGGGGACCCTGGCTGACATCAATTCAACAGCCACTGAGTGAGTGAGGGCCTACTGTGTGCCGAGCCTAAACCCTGTCCTCAAAGAACCTGGTATAAGGGGAGAGAAAGCCCAGTGTAGTTTAGAATACATCTCCCTGATGCA